TAAAATATATACGCATATACATCTTTTTGTATCTAAAAGTTTCTATACAACTATCCCTTCTAGTTGTTTGATCAAACTTCTAATATGTTGAATAATTAGAACCTCTTTTAATTCATTGGTCAGTAAATATTGGTGGTCTGGGTGTAACAGTTAATAAATTGGTGTTATACTTTTATTATTAGAATTAAAATCATGCATTATTTATGTATTCCTTCCAGCTAATTAATTACTATAAATTTTTGGATTTACTTCCCTTGACTTCTGTCTATATTCACCTACTGGTGATTTTTACAGATTCATGGTACTTTGGTACTTAGCTCTTAGCTATGCCTCAAATCTTTTTATCAAGTAGAGTAGTTTTTTGCTCTCAGGGGTCACCATTTAACTCCTTAGACAAAAAGATTCTTGACTTTCACTTCTTCAGAGACCTTTACTTCTACTCTACTCTTAGGAATCTGTTATAAGACACTGATCAGATTTGTGTGCAGTAATAAATTTGTCACATGTAAATTTTGTGGTTTTCATTTTTTGACAGAGTGTTTAGGAAGGAATATTTTATTATGTTGTGTATTTATTTCTAATTTGTTTATGTCTAGTTTAATTCAAATAAAATTCAAAAATCCCTTGGATTTCATTGTGAAGGAAATTTTTATTTATTTATTTATTTTTTGGTATGAGGGATTGAATTTGGGATCTTGCACTTGCGAGGCAGGCAGCAGAACCACTGAGCTAAACCCCTGGCCCTGAAGGAAATTTTTATTGAATTTTTTTCTTTGTGGTCTAAGTATATGACGTATTTTTAAACTTTTCCATAAGTACTGTTTTTTAAATTAGTTTCTGCATCTGATTAAATTTCACATTTATGTTGATATTTGTATTCTTATTCTTTTTGTATAGTTTATCTGTTAAAGAGAATTTCAGTGCTGAATTATTTAATTCTAGAAAGTTGAGTCTCAAGATCTCATTCTTGTATTTATTTTATGCTTTTTTTTTTTTTTTTTTTTTTTGGTGGCACAAGAGATTGAACCTAAGACCTTCACACCGAATTACAGCTCCACCTCATTTTATTTTTTCATTTGAGACAGCCTCACTAAGTTGCTCTGTTTGCTAAGACTGGGCTAGAACTTGGAGTTCTCTTGCCTCAGCTTCTCCAGAGATTTAGAAGTACAATCATGCAGCACCACACTTGGCTTTAATCTCTGTTATTTTAAGTACTTCTCTTATAAATAGCATGTTGTCAATCTAACCTTATTTTTTTATTCTTTAATAGTTATATGTCTTGATAACAAATTAATTTTACTTACATTACTTTTTTGTGCTTTTATTTTGGGTCTTTCCTTATTTTTTCCTGCTTATCCCTACATTTTTCCACTTTTAGATTTTTTTTTAACTTTTAATGGAGTAATTTGAAAGTTATATATATCATATTTTTACTTTAGAATAGTATTTTATGAACTAAGTATGCTGAACAGATGAATGATCCTGTAAATACTAACATTAAATTTATTTTTATTAATACATGTTTGCATGTACTATAATGATTACATTATGATTATATTCATCATGGGGAATAGCATTAAAATTAAAATAGAATTTGTCAACTTTTTTGTGTTTGATATGTGGTTGTTTGAGATGGGGTCTCACTATATATCCCAGGCTGGCCTTGATCTCATGATCCTCCTGCCTCAGCCTCCCGAGTACTGGGATTATAGGTGTGTACCTCCACATCTGATTACAACTCTCTTCTTATAAGGATATTATTTCTAATAAAATATAGATTTAATGAATGCATTCAATAATAATTCTATAAGTAATATGATTTTATAGCTAAGCACTCAGTGCTTAATCATGTATATATTCCTTGTTTTTTGAAATTCCTACAGATGCAGCAATGTCGTTTTTTTCAACAATTTAAAATTCCCTGCCTCTGATTAAAGAAATTCTTAGAATACAACTTGTGATGATTCAAGATTGCTTTGGAATACTACTATTTTGTCTTACTGTTTATATGTTTTGAGATTTTTTGCATGTTTTATGATACTCCCTCAAGGTAGAGACTTTGTTCTAATTTTCTTTTCATCTGTAGCTTCTAGTATACTTTCTGGAATATATTGCAAATTTATTACATATTAATGGAAGGAAAGTAGTCAATCAATGAAAGCCTTCTTGTAGCTTATTTTGATTACTTTGGCATATCATCTTGTTCCATTTGACCTTAATCATACTCTACCTTGTACAGGTTAAGGTGTTTTTACCTTTTATAAGGTGTTTCGTGGAAGGAATATGTTCTGAAGGATATACACAATTCAAAGCTCAATAATTTAAGAGTGTAAAATGTGTGTTGAGAAGGAGTGGGTTGGGACAATGGATGACTACATGTGTTATAAATTAGTTAATCCACAATTGTTATAACTTGATTTTACTTGCTCAGTATAAGTATAGATACAATAAATTCACTGGTACATTTTTTTCTTAACATTTTCTTTATATTTGTAGAGTGTGATAACTTAAATAATTGACCTCCCCTGTTGTGTTTTTTAGCATATTCAAATTACATTCCGAACATACTAACTTAACCACTTTTTAAATATTAAAGGAAGTAGTTGGCTAATTAAGAAAAGATACTGAAATTTAATAATATTAAATAGGTATCCTGAGGAGTAAACCAAATGTGTTTCATAAATATGGTACAAAGAAAGTGTGATGGACATTTTTATTTATCAGTCAAAATGGCAAAATTTAAATATAGCTTACATTTACTCTTTTTGCTAACTTGGCAATACTTATCAACACAGTTTTTATGGAGGAAGATTCATTATTTTAAACTATCCCTATGTATTGATAAAAATTACATTGGTTATACTGTTTCCTTGACTAAGCTTGAAATTTCTTGAGGTAATTGGTTTCTAACCATTGTATTATGTATGGCTTAGATTGACACTTAGATATATATATATATATATATATGGGGGAGCATATTGGAGATTGAACCTAGGGCCTTTGTGCTGAATTATGTCCCCATCTTCTTTTTAATTTTTAAAATTTGAGACAGGATCTCGCTAAGTTGCCCAGGCTAGGGTTGAACTTGAGATCCTCTTACCTCCGCCTCCCAGAGTGCTGCAATTACAGCTGAGTATAATCATGCCCAACTTAGTAATTCCTTATGGAAAGTTGCTGTTAAATCAACAATAATTGACAAAATGTGTTGTCTAAAATTGTAGTCTGCTAGAAGGTAAAAGTGAATTTATGGTATTTATATTTGTAATGATCAAAAATCACCACCCTGAGCTGGGGCACAATGGTGCACACCTGTAATCGCAGTACTTAAGGAACCTGAGGAAGAGGATCAACTAACCAAGATCTTGTCCCAAAATAAAGAAGAAGGTGTAGCTCAGTGGTAAAGTATCCCTAAGTTTGGTTCCCAGTACCACAAAAGAAAAAAAAAAAGACTCTGACTTGTTCTGTCTGAGACATTCTTCCCTACTAATTAGAAAAGTATTTTGGGAGTAGCTCTCAGACAAGAATCTATGTTTGATGCTGCATGTTTAAATACATTCTATAGAGATACAACACAAGTGAATGGGCAGGAGAATTTTTAATTGTAGTTGTAAAAATCGCTGACATGTAGCAACAGTAATAGAGCTTGGAATTAGAAAAAAACAAAGCCTTTTAATGGAAAGTTTACTGCAGCAACAGTAGGAATCATATATAGTTTCAAACAAAGACTTTGAAAATAGGGAAGGATGGAGGGATTAAAGGGAGAGCAAGATATGGGGAAAATAAGAATCAAGATGGATTATATAAAGGTATAAATCTCCAATGATGAATTATATATATATATATGTATATATATATATATATATACATATATATAGCTTCAAAATAATCACTGTCTTCATCTCTGTGGCAACTCACAAAACAATATTTGTTAATATGTCATCACTGGAAATAATGTTGAATTGTGTGTGTGTGTGTGTGTGTGTGTGTGTGTTTTCTTTTGTTTTTGAAGTGCTAGTGATGAAACTCATGGCCTTCCACATGATAGGCGGGCTCTTCAGATCTGTAACTAATCTACCACTTAACTGTAATTCCAGTCCCAGATTGAATTTCTGTGAATATACCAACAGAAATTGGAAAAATAAAAAAAGGATTCCTGCAGTAATGACAAGATCCTATTTAATATGCCTCAAAAAATATTAGGTTCAGCTTATGCAGTTTATAGCAAGTATTATGGGGAAACTCGGAAATTATAAGGCAAGTCCCCTGGTAGTCTCTATTGTTTTTTTTTTTTTTTGTTTTTTTTTTTTTTTTTTTTTTTTTTTTTTTTTTTTTTTGCAAAGATCACCTTGCCCCATCAGACATTTAAACTCATAAGACCTAAGTAGGTCAAATTTAGCATTAGATTCACTTTATAAGGATATTGGACAAGAAACATAGCAGGACATTCCTTGTTCTTTGGAATCTTACAAGAGTCTAAATGCTATTCTTTGACCCATACTACCAAGTGACAACTTAGATGTAGAGATACAAGATCCACATAGTTGGAACAAGGATTG